AAGAAAAGATGAAGCTGGGTCCTGTTTCTTCCCCGGAGCTTACTGTCTTGTTATCTCAGAGAGAAAAAAGGGCCGGAAAGGGCCGGGCGCGGTGGCTCATGCCTGTAATCCCAGCACTTTGGGAGTCCGAGGCGGGCGGATCACGAGGTCAGGAGATCTAGACCATCTTGGCTAACACAGTGAAACTCCGTCTCTACTAAAAATACAAAAATTAGCCAGGTGTGGTGGCAGCACTTGTAGTCCCAGCTATTAGGGAGGCTGAGGCAGGAGAATTGCTTGAACCCGGGAGGCAGAGGTTGCAGTGAGTCAAGATCTCACCACTGTACTCCAGCCTGGGCGACAGAGCAAGACTCTGTCTCAACAAACAAAAACAACAACAAAAAACTGAATGGGGTCTGAGGATCAGACTTTAGCATTGTTTCTTTTCTCTAGACAGAGCCTCGCTCTGTTGCCCAGGCTGGAGTGCAGTGGGGCGATCTCGGCTCACTGCAACCTCCACCCCCGAGATTTCCTGCCTCAGCCTCCCTAGTAGCTGGGATTACACGTGTGCACCACCACACCCGGCTAATGTCTGTATTTTTACTAGAGACGGAGTTTCATCATATTGGTCAGGCTGGTCTCAAACTCCTGACCTCAGGTGATCCACCCGCCTTGGCCTCCCCAAGTGTGGGGATTACATGCGTGAACCTCCGCGCCTGGCCCCACGTAGTTTCTTGATTGCAAGAAGGCTGCCATGTGCCTGAGGGAGAAAAAGACGTGTTGATAAACGTCAGTCAGGCATGAGTAACAGAGGTACTGGCCATGAATTCCATGTTAATGAATCAACTAGACGTTATTAAATAAGGAACCTTGAGAGAGACACACGTACAAGGTTGACAATGAACTGCTTAACAAAACTGCTGTGGCCGGCAGCTCGGAGGAACCTGACTTTCTATGTCCCCGGGAGCCAGGACCTAGGGGTGTTACTCACCAACACTCACGATAATTACATGATTCCATTTTGCTGCGACTTTGCAGAACTATCACTGAACAACGCAAGGTGAAACATAAGCAGGGCCAGTCATGTTTGTTTTTTTCACAAGGTCAGACTTTTATTGATACTTAATCAGAAAAGCTATAACTACACAGGGTTCCCAAGGTGGCAATTCCCCTTAGCACAACCCATTCACTCAGTAGCCATAGCCCCAGGCATTCAGGCTCAGGCCACTCCACAGGTCAGTCAACACTGAAAACCACAGACAGTAGTAAACTTAATACATAAATGTTAACAGATTATGGATTAAAATGTCCATATCAAAGCAGCACTTACATCAAGAGAAAAGAGGGGGTAGGCCGGGCACAGTGCCTCACGCCTGTAATCCCAGCACTATGGGAAGCCAAGGCAGGTGGATCACCTGACCAGCCTGGCTAACATGGTGAAACCCCATCTGTTCCTAAAATACAAAAAAATGAGGTGGGTGTGGTGGTATGTACCTATAATCCTCCTTGGGAGGCTGAGGCGGGAGAATCACTTGAACCTGCAAGGCGGAGGTTGCAGTGAGCCGAGACCGAGTCATTGCACTCCAGCCTGGGCAACAAGAATGAAACTCCGCCTCAAAAAAAAAAAAAAAAGAAAAAAGAAAAAAAAAATGTGGGTAAAACAGGGTTAATGAACCAGTCCAAGGAGAGCGAGGTGACCAAGAAGGAGGTCCTGCACTGATCCAGACATCTTGAAAGGTGGGAGTCCGGGCCTGGGCAGTGCCTTCAAGCGGAGATGTTGTGGGATTGGGAGGGACAGCAGATGGAGCCAGTCACCACTGCCGTGCAGCTGGTGAGGTCCTGCTCTTTTCACAGCCCTTGAGTCCTCTGGTGAAAACCAAGAGTAAAGACTATACGATAAGCTGGGCACAGTGGCTCACATTCTCTAATCCCACTGCTTTGGGAGGCCGAGGCAGAGGGATCACCTGAGGTCAGGAGTTCAAGACCAGTCTAGGCAACATAGCAAAACCCTGCATCTACAAAAAATACAAAAATTAGCCAGGCATGATGGTGCACACCTGTAGCTCCCGTTACTCAGGAGCCTGAGGAAGAAGGATGACTTGAGCCTGGGGGGTGGAGGCTGCAGTGAGCTGTGATCATCCCAGTGCCCTTCAGCCTGAGCCACAGAGGAAGACTGTTGGGCCTCTGAGCCCAAGCCAAGTCATCGCATCCCCTGTGACTTGCACTATACGCCCAAATGGCCTGAAGTAACTGAAGAATCACAAAAGAGATGAAAATGCCCTGCCCCGCCTTGACTGATGACATTCTACCACAAGTGAAAATGGCCGGTCCTTACCTTAAGTGATGACATTACCTTGTGAAAGTCCTTTTCCTGGCTCATCCTGGCTCATCCTGGCTCAAAAGGCTCTCCCCTACTAAGCACCTTGTGACCCCCACTCCTGCCCACCAGAGAACAACCCCCCTTTGACTGTAATTTTCCTTTCCCTACTCAAATCCTATAAAACGGTCCCAACCTTATCTCCCTTCGCTGACTCTTCTCGGATTCAGCCCGCCTGCACCCAGGTGATTAAAAAGCTTTATTGCGGCCAGGCGCAGTGGCTCATGCCTGTAATCCCAGCACTTTGGGAGGCCGAGGCGGACGGATCACAAGGTCAGGAGATCGAGACCATCCTGGCTAACACGGTGAAACCCCGTCTCTACTAAAAATACAAAACAATTAGCCAGGCGAGGTGGCCGGTGCCTGTAGTCCCAGCTACTCGGGAGGCTGAGGTGGGAGAATGGCGTGGACCCAGGAGGCGGAGCTTGCAGTGAGCCGAGATTGTGCCACTGCACTCCAGCCTGGGCAACAGAGCGAGACTCCGCCTCAAAAAAAAAAAAAGAGCTTTATTGCTCACACAAAGCCTGTCTGTCTGGTGGTCTCTTCACACGGACGTGCATGACAAAGACCCTGTCTAAAAAATAAAACAAGCTGGACGCGGTGGTTCACGCCAGTAATCCCAGTACTTTGAGAGTCTGAGGCAGGCAGGTCACCTGAGACCAGGAGTTCGAGACCAGCCTGACTAACATGGAGAAACCCTGCCTCTACTACAAATACAAAATTAGTCTGGCGTGGTGGTGCAGGCCTGTAATCCTAGCTACTTGGGAGGCTGAGGCAGGAGAATCGCTTGAACCCGGGAGGTGGAGGTTGCGGTGATCCGAGATCACACCACTGCACTCCAGCCTGGGCAACAAGAGCGAAACTCCGTCTCAAAACAAATAAAGGAAAAACAAAACAACAAAAAAGAGTGTGCCTGGTCGTGTCTGTCCTTACCTGAATAGGCGTAGTCTCTATTGATTAGGCAACCATCTGGTCCCGTTAGCACGATGCTTTTTGGGTTTGAGGGAGGGTCTGCTTTGCTGCCCAGGTTCTAGTGCAGGGCACATTCACAGCTGACTAATGCCTCCACCACCCAAGGGGTGCAAGCCACCATGCCGGGTTAATTTATTTTTGTAGAGACAGGGTTTTGGGTTTCGCCATGTTCACCAGGCTAGTCTTGAACTCCTGTCAGGCCTCTGAGCCCAAGCTAAGCCATCATATCCCCAGTGACCTGCATGTATACATCCAGATGGCCTGAAGCAACTGAAGATCCACAAAAGAAGTGAAAATAGTTTTAACTGAGGAGGTTCAACTGACTACATTCCACCACTATAATTTGTTTCTGCCCCACCCTAACTGATCAACGCACTTTGTAATCTCCCCCACCCTTAAGGTTCTTTGTAATTCTCCCCACCCTTGAGAATGTACTTTGTGAGACCCACCCACTACCCGCAAAACATTGGTCCTAACTCCACTGCCTATCCCAAAGCCTGTAACTAATGATAATCCCATCACCCTTTGCTGACTCTCCTTTAGGACTCAGCCCGCCTGCCCCTAACAGCCTGGTTGCTCACACAAAGCCTGTTTGGTAGTCTCTTCACACGGATCTGTGAGACACTGACCTCAGGCCATCCTCCCACCTCGGCCTCCCAAAGTGCCCGGATTACAAGCATGAGCCACCGTGCTTGGTCTGCTAATTTTTTATTTCTGCAGAGATGGGATCTCGCTATGTTGCCCAGGCTGGTCTCCATGTTCTGGGCCCACCCCCTCCTCCTGCCCAGCCGGACGCGGTCTTCCCCAGACGGAGCCCCTTACGGGCAGGGCGTTCTGTACAGAGACCGCAGTCCTAGGCAGAGTCAACCCCACGCGGCCACATAACCGCCCAGGGGGCCGGGGGCAGCGCGGTGAAATGGGAAAGGGTTACACTGGAGGATCCGGGTGCTGGGGACACTGACATTTTCGGTATTATTCTTGAAGCTTTTTCCTAAGTTTGA